GTCGATATTTTAAACACTCTTTCAAACATCTCAAACCAATAACATCTCAGCAAGGAGATTTCAAGTTTCAACCTTCAAGAGTAAGAGTACTTGAACATCTTCTATTATTAGATGTTCTTTGTCAAAGCACCTATGACCTACAAGACTTTGACTTTGAGGGCTGTTAGTTCAAGATACTCCGAACAGGCTCCATTGGCAGTTGAGACAACTTTTAACTCACAATGCACTTAACACTTTATCACATGTTGGGACACTCGGAACATTTCACTCGTTTGTTTGAATAAGACAATAGAACAAGTTGGTGCATAGTTTCTTTGTCCACTATTACAAAGAAGCACCCCATAGTCGTTGGAGTGATAAGAAAGGAACTCCTTTCGTGTTGTCTATCGCTAAGTTTGATCCAACATTGATGATAGAGTGGATAAGAGCATTTCCAATGTGAAAATACAATTTGGTTCTTAACTATTTTTTAATGAGTTCTTTATTGTCGCATATGATTTAAGAACACTTACTAATTTTTACCCCAATTATAGAATCCAACTTGAGTTCTAAATTTAATTTTAATTGGTCATTTTTTATCTCTCCACTCATACAGGAACTCCCATTGTAATTTGAAATATTTTTTTGATAGAGAAGCAATTTTATTTGGAATTGTTTATATAAACAACTTCTATAAGTACACTGTAAAATCTCATTTACTCGATGAAATTCTTAAGTTGCTTAATATGAAAATCCAACACAGGCAACCCATTAGAGTTTTTAAGTTTGTCAAAATATAACGCGACTTCATTGGCACACGATTTAGCATCAAATATAAAAATGACAGAAGAAAAAGAGCAAGGTTGATAGGCAAAGCAGAAGAAAAATAAATTTTACAGAATTTTTATAAAATTATATATTTCTCAGGATTTTAAAGTTGAATTAAAAAAGAGCTTAATGTTTACACCCAGCTGTTTTTTGTTTTCTTTTTCTGTTATGATGGTCCTGAACCAAACGTTCATTTGGACTCTGGCATATCTTATGCATTTGGCCCATTTTACTTATAATAAAACTTCCTTTGCCTATAAAAAGAATGAACTTAATTAATTAATTTATTTATTTATTGATATTGAGGAGGCACTAAGGCCCAGAGGAAATAACAAAGAATTCAAGGTGACCAATTGGAATTCATGCAATCCCATATTATAACGTAAGGCTAATGGAAAGCAACAGCTGGTAGGTGGTTAAGCATGTGTAAGCCCAATGGCTAAGGTTTGCCAACCTATCTGCCACACAATTTGCCTCCATGTATATTTGAACCAATTTGGTTTACAGTTTGGTGAAATTAATTTTGAACGGTTGAACATATTAAAATATATGCCTAAATTAATTTTGAATGACATTTACATCAGAACATATGTTTTCAGGAATTGTGTTCACAATAGAATTTAATTTTACACAAGAACAAGAACGAGAGAAACTTGACTGGGCACAAAAGATCTATATTTTTTTGCGACAATTTTGAATTGCTTTTACAGGCACTATACATTCTCAGAAGTTCTCACCGCCGAAGAGACAAATCCCAACTGTGTTTCTGCCCATAAGTTAGAAAAATCACATCTACCAATGAAATTATCGAACACGAATAACAGGACAAAGATATACAAAGAATATGCGACATTTCGAGGCCTGCAGCATGTGCCCCCTGCAACTTGTGCTGACAAGCTACAAAACCACTTTAGTATGCAACCCTCCAACGCATGCTTCAGGCTTCAGGCTTCAGGCTTCGAAAACCAATCCAACTGAAAAACCTAAGCAACCAAACTCCAACTCAAGGTAAATCAGTATGCTTCAAAACGCTCCAACACAAAATTCGCTTGCTTTCAAGGAGAGATTACAGAAACCATGCTTTCAAGCATAGTGAGTAGAAACTGAGTGAGCACTAAGGTTACACAATGAAATAATTTGTTACTCAAACCATGATAGCTTGGCCACTAATACCATCATGAAGCTGAAGTGAACCGTCCTTCATTAAATTTATGCTCAAGCTCTTGAATCTCTCCCTTGAATACTGCCTAGATGCTTTTCTCCAGTCAGTTCCCGTTTTCATCATGGCCACAAACTCTTCATAACTGATGCGACCATCCTGTGGAAACAGAAAAGTAGGAAATTGTTTAAAGGGCTTATGGAAAACATGTTGGGCGTATATGACATGTTACATGATTATTATCACCCAAACAATCAAATTTTATGAGAAATGCAAGCATATCTGGTTTTGTTTACATTGCATTGGCGAAGAACCTGAAAAATGGAAAATAAAGCAATTGAGTCATGACTCATGAGCAAGAAAGACAAACCTTGTCAGTGTCAACTTCACGCATGATGTCATTCAATACAGCTGTATCAGTTTCTCCCGACTCATCTACTAATGCTATCTCTAGCTCGTTTAACTCAATATACCCACTCCCGTCTTTGTCAAAATACATGAATGCTTTGTGGAAATGCTCATCATTCTCCATTCTTTGTAAGTGAATTGTCACGGCTACAAACTCTCCATAGTCAAGTACTCCATTCCCATCAACATCAGCCTAAGCAATTGAAAGCAAAGAAAACCATCCTTAAATCACAAATTTGTTAAATACATCATTTTTTTGAATAGCAAATACTACCACAAACCAAAATCTCCATAAGGAAATTTAGGGAAGATTTACACCGAAAAATAATCACGTATTAAATATGGCATCCAGCACTGTATTATGTACTGCAATAGGGTCTAAAACCAGTTAATACTTATTTGTCTTGCACATATCAGTGCCAGCAGGAAAATCTCATTCCTGGAGAGTGCAACATCATGTATTCATGTTCATCATAGAAGTGCATACTACTCCAAGAAATAATGCAACAAAAAAGTTTTCAAAGAGGTCCATCAGATTGTCTACAAATGGCAATGACAATCAAAGAACTAATTATATCGAGCAGTTACATTCTAAAATGCATAAAGTTTAGAGAATCCTACCACTTCCATCAGCATCTTTATCTCTGGCTCAGCCAATTGTGAACCAACCTTCCGTAACCCAGCCTTCAGTTCCTCATACGATACTTTGCCATCTTTGTCAGTATCCATCAATGCAAACATGTCCTTGATTATTTCCACCTCTTCAACAGATAAATGCTCTGCAATTACCTGTAGCATTCATTCAAGGTAACATCCAACTTCCTTATTAATTCCATAATAAACAGAACTTGAGTTAACAATCATGCGTAAACCACAACATATGCTAACCCGAAGTGCTCTCTTTTTGAATCTATTCATGACAGAGAACTGCTTAAGCCTTGTCCTCACGATATCTCCTAATGGAACATTAGAAGCTTTCTTTGCATTTTGTAACCAGGAATGTTCTGCAACCATAATTAAGAATAGTAAATATTTAGCATCAGTTTCTAAATTAGGTAGGCCGGATGGCCTCCAGTGTTGTAGTAGAGAGCAATGGAGCCAAAAAGGGTCCAGACGAGAATGAGAATATTCTTCTTAGACAAAGAAAACACCATACAACAAACAATCATAAATGGAAATTTTGAGATGCTTAAACATTACAAAATCACCATTTCAATGGAAGTTGCAAAATGTAAATTCGTCCTTGAGAGGTTGAGAGTTATGGAAGAATCTCATCCAAAAGTACTTACCAAGCACCTGTTCAGCCGTCAAGCGCTTTTTGGGATCAGGCTCCAACATCTGGCGCACAAGGCTCTTAGCAGTATCCGAAATCTGAGGCCAAGGCTCCCTCTTGAAGTCGATCACACCCCTCAAAATGGCCAAAGCCACCCCTCTTTCATCCTCTACACCAAACAAAGGAGAAAAAAAAAACTCACAAAAATTGGACTCCAGGCAAAAGAGAAAGAAATAGAAGAGGTACCTGCCCAAAACGGAGGAACCCCAGAAAGCAAAATATAAAGAATGACACCAGCACTCCACACATCGACCTCCGGGCCATAGTTCCTCTTCAAAACCTCCGGCGCCATATAGTAAGGACTCCCCACAATCTCGGAAAACCTCTCCCCGGGCTTGAAAAAGACGGAGAGGCCAAAATCAATAGCCTTGAGAGCGGAATTCTCCTTCTTACTAGCAAACAGAAAATTCTCAGGCTTAAGGTCCCGATGCATGACGCCATTCGCATGACACATCCTAACAACCTCGGCAACGGTCCTAGCGACGTGCGCGGCCGCACGCTCGCTGTAGTGGCCACGTGCGACGATCCGGTCAAAGAGCTCCCCTCCGGCGCAAAGCTCCATGACAAGGTGGACGTTCTCCTGGTCCTCGTAAGTGGCCTTGAGCCTGACGACGTTGGGGTGGTCCGGCAGGGTGGACATGATGGCGACCTCGCGGCGCACGTCCTCGACGTCGACGGCGGTGCGGAGCTTGCGCTTGGAGATGGACTTGCAGGCGAGGTCCTGCTTGGTCTCTCGGTGGGTGCAGAGGTAGGTTATCCCGAACTCCCCCCGACCCAGCTCCCGACCTATGACGTACTTGTCGGCGATGAGGGTCCGAGAGGTTACGTCCTTGAGGACGCGGATGGGAACGCCATAGCCAAGCTCCTCCTCCGCGTAAGGGTTTGCTTTGCCTCTCTGCTTTCTCCTTTGCCTTTCGCTTGACTCTCTCATGCAGCCGTTGCAATTCCCCATCGAAACTCACCTCATGCTCATGCTCATGCTCATGCTCACTCACCTTTTAATTCTCTTCCTCTTCCCACTTTTTTTCCTAAAGGGGCTGCGTGGTGTAGGGTGGGTGGCAGTGGGACCCATGAACCACCCAGATTCTTACTTTTTCCCTGCTTCCGGCCTCTGCCTCCGCGTCAGACTTTTTCTTTTTACATTTCTACTTAAAATTGCACTCTCATTTTACATTTTTTTTTTTTGTATCTTTTAAATTTGCATGCACATCATGACTATTAATTACTCCTGTCTCGTAATAATATGTAAAAGAAATAGCTCAAAATAAACATTTTTTTCAGATATTTATTATTTTCTTGTTCTTTATAAAAGAAATGAAGAAACATATTATAAAATCGAAGGAATGCTAATTTTGATATTTGACCTTAAGACATCGCTTCAGTAAATGTAAGTTCTTCGATTTAAGGCATTATACTTTCTTTCTAGTGTTATTTTTTTATTAAATTAATTTGTTATATATATATGAGGTAGGTGAGATAGTGAGTATGAAAAGACCCAAATTAATTGTTAATTTACTTCAATTGATTATTGACGTGAAAAGATAATTATTTATTAAAAAATTACTAACATTCTTTTAATATTGTTATTATTAATAATTAAAATTACAATTTTTTTCATAATATGAAGACAAAATTGGTACATTAAGATTTTTATAAAACCAATAAAATCAAATAAAATAATTATTTATATTAGTATGACTGATTCTGTGAGACCCCCTTCCTTTCCTTTTTCCTCTTCACTCTCACACTCTAACTCTCATTTCTCTTTCCTCACTCTTTTGCTTTGGAACGTTCTTCTTGGCTGACACAAGGTGGTGGTGCGGAGTGAATTGGGTTTTTGGCTAGCTAGGTGTTCGGAGCTCTTTCTTCTCCTTCGGTGTGCTCTCCTTCGATCTTCTTTTCCGTTTCTTCTTCCCGGAGCTTGGATTTTCGCACCGAGATAAGGGAAGCTAGGTTTTCGCTATTTTTCGCTGTAAATGAGTCCAGAAACTCGTTTGTTGTTTGATGATGAATGATTCTTGGTTGAGATTGCTGAAAATGGAGTTTTAGGGGTTTTCGGGGTTTTGAAGAAATTTGGGGTTTTTCTTTGATTTGAAGTTGCATGTTGAAAATGAGGTGTTTTTCTTTATGCTTGATGAAAATGTGGGCTTTTGGATGGATTGCATGTTGGTTTTCTGGTTGATTTTGCAGGATTTGGTGAAGTTTTTCGAAAGTTGTGGGTTCCTGCTAAGCTTCGCTGCTGAGCTTCGCGCTGGGCGCTGTTCTTCGCACCGGGCGCATGACCACCAGGGGGCTCCATTTAGGCAAGCCTGCCGGGCACAAAGGTGTGTGCGCCGGGCGAGCTTGAGAATGTGAGCCTCTGGATGGCCCACGCCAGGCGTGATTTGGACCGCACCGGGCGCAATACCAGTTGTGACATGTTTTGGGGTTTTCTGGCGCTGCGCTGGGCGCGATTCTGTCACGCCGGGTGCGGAGACTCCTTGGGAGTCTCTGCCATTGGGGCGTCAGGCACAATTCGAATTGCGCTAGGCACGAGACCTTGGGAGGTCTCTGCCTTCCCCGCGCTAGGCGCAGGTTAGGGCAAGCCAGGCGCGTGAGACTCCTTAGAGTCTCTGCCTGGGTTGCGCTGGGCACAATTTGTATTGCGCCAGGCGCGAGGGAGCCTTGGGCTCTCTGGATGGGTCACGCCAGGCGCGGGCACTCTTGCGCCAGGCGCGCTGACCCCCTGGTGCTCTCTGGTTGTGCCACGCCGGGCGCGGAGGTGATGTTGAGCCATATATTGTTAGATGTTGTGAAATGCTGAAGGATGTTGTTTTACGTTGAGCTGGGCTATTATTGATGATTATTAATGATGAATTAAAATATTGTTGTACTGTAGACTGTTGAGCTGAGTTGTGAGTAGTAAGCTGTGTTGTATAATATTTAGCTGTGTTGTATGCTGATTTGCGGGGCTGTGTTTTGAGCTGTGTTAGCTGGGCTGTAAGTTGTTTAGTTGTGCTGTGTTATGCTATGAGTTGTATATTGTTGTGCTGTAAGTTGTTAAGCTGAGTTGTATGATGTTTTTGCCACTAAGTGGTGCTGTTATAGCCGCTAAGTCGGTGCTGTTATTGTCGCTAAGCGGTGCTGTTATAACAACTAGAGTGGTGTTGTTATTGCTGCTATGCAGTGCTGATATTGCCGCTTTGTGGTGCTGATATTTGCTGACTGCTGTGATGTAGTATAAGCTGGTTGATGTGCTAATAGCTGTAGCTGTTTACCATTCATATTGTTATATATGTATGTTTATTTATTTTCACTAGCTTACCCTTTTGTTGTTTCCATGTGTTTGGACTGTGATGATCATACTTTGTATGGGAGCAGAGCAGGGATAGGTGGGTGGCTGGTGGTAAGTCTGCAACTGGCAGATAGAGCTGATCCTCTTGGGTGTCTTGTTGTTTTAGGTACTTAGATGTAGTAGTGATCGATGTATTTTGTACACTTTAACTCTATCCAGACTTAAATCTTGTATATATATATATATATTCTAGACACTATGTATACACTTGTTCCTTTCTATGTGGTGTTTCTGGTGTGCTGTGCTGTGTTTAGTAACCAGTCAGGTCGTTACAGATTCTATTATAAATTTTTTATAATAAAGATTAGAGAAAATATTATTTATTATATTATATACTTAATTTTAAGTTATGTTGAATATTATAAATTAATAATTAATAATACATATTTAATAGTCGGATAAAAATGTTGATTTTAAAAAATTAAAATTATAAAGTTAAAATTAAATAACTAAAATTATGAATTAAATATTGTAAGATTATTAATAATTTACTTTTGACTATCAAATGGAGTGCATATATTATTGTGATAATATTATTAACATAAATTTTGTAAGTGGACAAAATTTCTTACTTCATGCTAAGGGTGTTTAAGGGATGAATTATGATGAATTTGTTATTATTTAATAATAAGTTTTGATAAGACCAATTTTATAAATGTAAATTGTAAATTCAGTAAGTTATTATACTTTATGACTTACCATCTAAATAGCGAAATATAAAAATTTAATCAATATATATATATATATATATATGTGTGTGTGTTTATATGTATAAAATTCAACAATTAAAAACATAAATATAAGTTCTTTAACAGAATTAAAATTCAACTTTGTACACAATAATTCAAACTATAAAACATAGATTATTGGTTATCGATGAAGTAACTATTATCTACAAGTTATATCAGAACAACCCAGATAACTTCGTCTTCTCTAGTATGACCCTCAAATTGATCAACATAGCTAATTCTAGATGAATTCAAACAATAATCAACACATATCACACAACAATGCTCGATCTAAAAGTTTTTCTTACCTTAAATTATCAACACCTAGACTCTTAGCTTTCCAAGCTTTGAATCTCTACTCAACTCATACAATTGAACTCCAAGAAAGAATTAGAATAGTCTTGTGAAGTCAAGAGGGAAAAAGATTTTCTTTGACTCAAAAACTCATCTCTTTAATTTTTCTTTAATTTCCTAAAGAAAATGAACTCATGAACTTTAAATCTTAAAAAAAACTTTATATATCTTTTAATAAATTTAATTAATTTTAACATCAACTCAAAATAACTCATAAATAATCAAACTCAAAATTTCTCAATCCTTAGATTCTTAAAGCATTAAAACAACAACTCATATAATCAATCAATTAATCAAATTAACTAAACAATTATAAATTCACTATGTTAGGTTAGGTTAGTAGATTGAGACGAATTATGAATATTCTTATATGAGACCCATAATCGTGTTAAGAAGAATAATGCATTGTTGATGTATTGTAATATTATTCTACTTTAAATTGTGGTGCTTTCAACATCTATCTCCTAACTTTATTTGTCATGATTTAGACCAAAGTCAACTTGTTTATCTTGCTGACAAACCATTTTAGACTTGATGAGCTCTAATTATGGAATAGGCTCAATACTTGATTATAATTTTTTTAAAAACGGTTTAACAATTTTTTTGAATTGATAATTGATGTGTCTTACATGTAAACAAATTAAAATTAATGCACTTAAGTAAAAGTGAACTGTAATTTTTGGTTAAATGTCAATAATTTTAGTTATATTATTAATTGAATTAGTCTTAAATAACACATGAAGTTATATCTGCCCAAAGACAAAGGGAATTAAATAAAGTCACTAATCTTGTTATTTATTTTTTACTATAAACACGATTATATGGTTCAAGGGTCACATATGTTTGATGACAAGTAACATGGTTTGATGGCTAGAAGCTAGTCATGCACTACAATCCACAATTAGTAGTAGGTTTAGTCTTGGTCATATCATTATATCATAAGCTTACAAAACTCGCTTAAGAACGTCATCTAGAAGTTTACTTCGAAGTTTCAAGGATATAATAATATAGCAATTGCTATCAACACTTACCCACTAATTTTGTGACTTGGTCCTAGTCTACTGTAGAGTGTAATTTTTATTTCCTTAACGTCACGACTCACTGTATATATCTTTTAGAGGGAAAATGGAAAATATTGGGTTGCGACACAAAGTGGAAGCTAAAAAATGAGATACGAATGGAAGGGTGAAAATGGAAAGGTGATTTGTACAGTTGACATGGTCGATATATAAACGCTAATTAAAATCCAGAAGCTATATTCTATTTATGAAGCTATGTGAGCTATGACTATGACTATGACCCACTTGAGGAAAATAATATTCCTTCGAAGCCAAAGTCAACAAATTATAATTGACTTATTTTCCCTTTTTTCTCTAAAAGATAGAAAACAAAGGGTATTGTTATGATAAGCTTTTTTCTACATTGGCTATTGGTTAATGGGTAATGTTTTTCTTTTCTCTCAATTCACGGACTACCTTCCTGAAATTAATATATGTTCAAGTAACTTCTTTTCCAATCACATGCTTCACATCACATTTTTAGGTTCATTTGGATAACATAAAATAGAAAGTAGTACATTTTATTTTGTTGGGAAAAAATGACTT